TTTTTCATCTGCTTAAACTTGGGTTGGTAGGTGAGTGTGAAAGTAGTGCTTTGAGAAGGCCAATTCCCCCCCAAAAAAATTATACATCTTGTTCTTTATGTTTTGTTCTCTGATCAGCTGCTATTTCAACATTATTTAATAATTAAAAAAGGGATCCCTCTTCCTGGGAACAATGGCCATGCCAGCTAAGGATCACGTGGCAAAGGGGATCGTGTCAGAATGCTACACAGTCAATCTGAATTGGCTATGCAATAATATTACAAAGCCAAGTGAGAGTGAAGGAACTGTTTCCTGTATCAGTATAGTCCTCACTCTGAATTAGCAGATGTGTTTACCCACTTCCAATGTGCTGCCACCAATCATTAAAAAATAAGGGGCTTTTCACTGTAGCCAAACTTTTTTTGGTGGGGCAGGATTTCTGCCTTTGGGCTTACCTAATGACCATAACCCTCACTGCACTATTCCATCTTTGTATTACATACCAAATATGCAAAGAGGTTAGACTTCACAAAGATAAAAATGATCATGGATAACTGCATATATAATTAATATATATAATTAATTTTGTATTTATACAAACCAGCATCTCTGAAATATTCCATTATTTCAAAGTTGTTTGATTGCCCAAAATTGCAAAATGAATTGTTTTAGTACAGAGCATTGACACATTTCCTCTCAGAGCTGTCCATACCTTTAGGTAGAGTGAAGCAAGTGCCTCAGTTAGCAGATGCTTAGGCAGGAGGCTGGACCAAGAGACTGCCACTGTTCCCCTGAGTCTTCCCAGTCACTCTCATCTGTTGCCACACAATCTATCCTGAGGCCCTTAATCTGGCCTACTGCTCTCATCTGCCATGGAGGTTGCTATCCTGTTACCAGTATTGAAGTCAGATTCGTGTTGTCAACTGCCTTGTGATTTTCAGATGAAGGGTATACATACATCCAACAATTCAACTAGTCAGCTTCTGTATGTAGAATGGAGGGGATGCCATCCAGTCTGCCTTGGACAGCAAAATGTCTTGGGCTTGCACTATTTTTTTACCAGCTCACCTCTGTGATCCTGATCATTTTGTGTGAAGGCAGAAGCTGCTTAGCTATACCCAGCCAGTGCAGAGGCAAGAGAGCAAAACAACTGAATTTTATGTGGAAGGATTTTTAACTTTTACAAATTTCAAGCAGCAAGCCATTCCAGTTCACAAACTCTTCCCCCCCAAGTCCTCTGAATCTCAAAAGAAGATTGCCATATGGAGTTATGGGGCTTCTAGTTCATGAAATATAGGTCAGGATCCATCCAGAAGCAAGCACATTTTAACACCATCTTTAAAAACATCTCCTGCTGAATGGAAAAGGCATTCCATATTGACCAAGTCAATATTAGCATCTCATTGGGTACCCATGGCTTACATCCCCCAATTCCCCCTTCCTTCCAAAAATTATTTTGGTCGTCTTCTTCTTTTTTAATAAAAAAAAAATGAATTGTTTTCCCAAGAGCTCCAAGTCACAGCTATATTATTAGCAGCAGCTGGAGGAGATATCATATTCATTATAAATATGTAATTGAATGACTGTTGCGACCCAGTTTTTCCCAGGAAGGAAAAGCAATGAGGAAGAAAGGTAGCAGTACACACAACCTGCTCTGCAAAGGTGCGAATCAAATGGCTGTTTCTTAGCTCCCAATTCCAGGAGATAGTTCAGCCCTTTAAACCTTACCCCAGTCACACACTTTCCAACTAAGTTCACATGGCTGGGGCAACATCTAAATTAGTACTGTGCGAAACATTCAGTGTGTGGCCATTTTGTATTAATTAATGAGAAAAGAAATTGCACTAAAAAAAAGTCTTTCCCCTTTGATAATTGGTGCAATTTCTTTTCTCAGTAATTGATAGATTATGGTAGGGGGGAAATGGTGAAATTCTCATGAGCATGGGGCCTAGTTTCTGTTGTGCTTACCGTACTTTGGATGTGGCCTCAGGGTGTTCATTCATTCTACAAATCAACTCTCTAGTTTTCTGCATTCCCAGGTTTCTGCACTTCCTGAAAACCCTGTGAGGTCCTTGGGCTTGGGCTTGACTTTCTGTAAAGTCAGGGAGGTTGTCTCATACTTAGGTCAGGTACATGTTAACTCAACCTCAAGGGAGCCAATCACGAATGTATGACTAATCAGGCATATGGCTCCCGCAAAGCTATGGTAACATTTGAGGGATCCCAAACTGTATGTCTTTTATTTACAACTGTGGGAATTGCAAAAGAACAAAAACTACAGATCTGACCTATCCTGTTTATATGCATTCAATTTGTATCTCTGGTCATAATTGCAGGAACAGTATAATTACAGAAATACTACCTAGCAATTACAGCTCATTATTGCGCACAATTCCATTGGCTTTTTCCTAAGTAAACATATATATTTTCCCCATCACCACAGTAAATCAAGATCAAATTGCCAGTTTCTGGACATCATCCAGTCATCGTCAGCTGCATCTGCTCCTCTGTATCAACAACATGTACAGAAGCCACTGATGTTCCACGGTTCCAGGCAACACTTTAAATAGTTTCTCTGTAATTAATGATCTGTAATTAAGCTTAATATGATTATATTTATGTCCTCTGAGATAGCTTGCTGATAATTAGTGTACTAAAAACAAATGTGAGGTGAGCTTCCACTCCCTTTATCATGGAATTTCTTACTAGCGATTTGCCAAAAGGAGACATCCGCTATCTTTCAAACAGCTTGTTTGATGAAAAGAAGGAGAAAGGGGGGGAAGGTGTCGAGAAAAAGAGAAAGGCAGTTTCAAAGGCTGTGTTTGGGTGTCATAGTACAAAAGCAAGAGTAGCCAATGGCAGGGGAAGAACCGTAGCTCAGGGGCACAACGTCTGCTTTGCATGCAAAAAAGTCCTGGGTTCCATTCCTATCATCTCCAGGGCTGGGGGAGATCCCTAGCTGAATTCTGGAGAGCCACTGTGAACCAGTGTAGACAATACCAAGCTAGCTGGACCAATGGTCCTACTGAGTGTAAGACATTTTTCATGTGTTCCTCCCATGCAGGTGCTGTTGGACTCCCATCAGCCACAGCCAATGGTCAGGGGTGATGAGAGGGTACAGGCTACCTTTGGAGTAAGCTGATCTGAACAAGCCTAGGCCAGTGTGGTGTAGTGGTTAAGAGCGGTAGTCTCGTAATCTGGGGAACCGGGTTCGTGTCTCCGCTCCTCCACATGCAGCTGCTGGGTGACCTTGGGCCAGTCACACTTCTTTGAAGTCTCTCAGCCCCATTCACCTCACAGAGTGTTTGTTGTGGGGGAGGAAGGGAAAGGAGAATGTTAGCGGCTTTGAGACTCCTTCGGGTAGTGATAAAGCGGGATATCAAATCCAAACTCCTCCTCCTCCTCTTCTTCTTCTTCTTCTTCTTCTTCTTCTTCTTCTTCTTGGCAACATAGCTGTCAACTTACAGATTTGAAAATAAGGGACCAGCAGCCTCGGAAATAAGGGATCAGCAGCCAAAATAAGGGATTTTCAGAGCACAGATATGTTGGACTTCTGAGCCCAGCCAGCAGCCAAACAAAGCCTCAAGCCGTGGTTCCCACAGCGCAGCAACCGGGCAAAGGTGTTGCAGCAAGGAAAACCACTGTCACCTCTCCGCTGGGAAGCACTGAGCAAAGGTGAGTCCCCAGGCAATGTGGCCGATTTGATCGGCGCAAGGCATGCAAGCTCCACCCCCCCCCGTCGTTCTTAGACTCCTTATTGTGTGAGCAATGCAGCCAAGCAACACAGTTGGAGCCTCTCTCCTACCTGGCCAGCAGGGAGAGAGGGAGAGGAGCTGCTTCCTTTGAAACCCGGGAAATTTAAGGGACATCATCAATAAGGGACAGCAGCGGGACACAGCGCTGGGACAAGGGACTTTCCCACCAAATAAGGGACAGTTGACAGCTATGCTAGTCAAGTGTTCCCTCTCTTCCTCCAGTGCAGCCATAAGGAGTTAGGATGTTTCTCCTTCACCAAAGGACTGTCACGTTCCCTGAAGCATTGCCGGTGCCTGATGTGCATTAAGGAGGAACCCCACACATTTCTGCAAGCCTCCCTGCGTGCTTCGAAGAGCGTTCCTTCGGCAGTGTGTGCAGTTTCGCTCTTCTGCGATCCTTGTTGCTTCTGCAAGAAAGGGGAATAAGCACTCACACTTTACATTGTGGGTGCCCTTTGGGGGATCACACGCGGTGCTACAGTTCCCAGGGAACTTACCGGCAAACAGGGACTGACCTGCCTCTTAGTGTTATTACTTGGAGGTTCACGCCCAGCCTCAATAGTCAAGTTTCATTGCTGGGAGGTGGGGCCAGTCCCATATATATACAGGGGGAGGAGCCGACAGTAGACAGGCAGTTGGCTCAGGTGATTCACCCACACAACTCTCCCTTTGTTTAATGTTTTCTTGTTTGCAGGTGAACTTTTTCTTCCTGTTTAGTGGGCACTGCTATGGTCTTTGACTGGTTGCTGTTGAAGGACTGGGAAGAAATTTTCCTGCATTGGCAGGTTTTGTCTTCCCCGTAGCAATTTGTCACAATTTTGGTGGTTTATGGCCTTGGGTGGAATCTTTTAGTCGTTTCTTCCCTATAATGGGTGTGTGTGTGTGTGTGTATGAAGTGGTAACTCACCCCCCTGCGGTGGCGATTCCAGGGTCCCCGCTTAAAAGGGGTTATATAATGGGTGTCATTGGCCATACACTGAAAGTTTGTTAGTGAACTACCCTTCGTGTGGAGAAAGGGGGTGGGCTGCCTGCGTACACATACATCTCGCAGTGCACCCCCATATCCCATTTACCCTGATGTGCCCCAGTTCCCCCAGCTGAGGGGCTGGGAGGGATACATGCCCAAGGCCTAAGCCAAGGTCTTCCTACATTTGGAAGTTTAATAAAGTTGTGGCCTAATTTTAATTCCATAACACGTTGTCAGAGTCATTATTCCTTTCTTATGATCCCAGGGGGCTTGGGCTGTCACGGACTGGTCACGCAATGGCTGTAGCTCAGTGGCTGAGCACCTGCTTTGAATGCAGAAGGATCTGAGTTCAATCCCCAGTGTGTCTGGGCAGATCTGGGAATGTTCCTTGTCTGAAATCCTGGACAGCCATTGCCAACCTGAGCTGGATGGACTAATGATCTGACCCAGTACAAAGATGCTTTCTTATGGTCCTATGGTGCTGCCTTTCTTCCTATAGAAGGTGTAGGTGTGTGGCAAAATGGGCTACCACTAAAATTGCGTAATTTTTGTCCACCTGCTTAAAATTTTTGGTAGGTAGGTGAATGTGAAAGTAGTGCTTTGAGGAGGCCAAAATGTTTCCTTAAGTCATTCTTCGTCTTGTTCTCTGATCAGCTGCTGTTTCAACATTATTTAATAATAAACAAAGCTTCTCTCTTGCTGGGAATAATGGCCAGGCCAGTTAAGAAGCACATAGTAAAGATGTTTAGGGAAGTTTTTAATGTCTGATGCTGTATTGTTTTCAATATTCGGTTGGAAGCTGCCCAGAGTGGCTGGGGAAACCCAGCCAGATGGGTGGGGTATAAATAATAAATTTTATTATTATTATTATTATTATTATTATTATTATTATTATTATTTCATAATGCCACCCACATGCAATTTCAGAAAATGAATAACCTTGAGTTGCCCTCCAGCCATTGCTGCCCCTTTTAAAACCACCACCCAACACAAACACAAACACACACACACACACACACACACACAAAATATCCATAGAGCCCAATGAAGGTTCAGAGGTCAGAACACTCAAGCGTTCTTTTCTACTATGATCTGCGTTACTCAGCCAAGTTTTCAGGAGATCAATAAGAACAGCAGGCCGACCATTATCACTCTATGATGTCGCCTCACGGCCAATAAAACTGGGTCTGTCTACCTGCCATACTCCACGGGTCAGGAACTTAATTAGAATTTAGTGGAAAGAAAGCATCTGCTTAGCTGCCGAGATTGTCGTTTCCCCCATCCTCCTCCTAATGTTATTGTTTAGCAATGTCTCCTTGTGTCATTACTTGGCAATTCTTTCCCCTCGTTCTTCCAAAGATGGATTTGCATAATGGGCAACTATATAACTTTGCTGCAGCTAGGGTTCTCTCTCTTTTGGGTGGTGGCAGGCTGGGGAGGGAAGACTTTCTGCACTTAAACTAATGGTCCATGTCATGCATCCACTTGCTACCATCAACCAACAGAGCAGTGCCAGAAGAATTTCAGGTTCGAGGCTTTGATCCACCACATTAATTTATGAGGTAGTTAAGTAAATAAAGCCTTCTTTCTAACTTGAAGATGACTTTTGGAGTGTTGTATCTCATAGATGAAGCCGCCTCCTCGAATTCAGTGGTTTTGCAAAAATGTGATGAGGAACACTGGAATTTGCTGTGTTCTGGTGTGATGCTGGATCCCACAGAGAAAGTGGTGAAGCTGGTCAGAGGTCCCAAACCATGGATAACTCCAAGTGAGCAGTTTGTTCCGACAAAGGTTGGGAGCAGACTGAGGCCTCCTCCTGGTTCAATCCTTGGTAACTTCAGATAGGGCTGAGAGAGACTGCCTAAAATCCCGGAGAGCAGCTGCCAATCAGTGTAGACAATACTGAGCTACAGTAGAAGGAACATAGGTCTGACCTGTATAAGGCAACTTCCTATAAGTGTATCAATAAACTTGAAAGCACACTCAACCATTGGAGACTGGTGGTAGCAGAGAAGAAAACTACGCAACATTACATAGCAGAAGCAAACAGTTTGGGGTCCATTTGTGGGTTGTTGTTTTTACATAATAGCTCTGAGATGAACTACCTCCCTGAGGGGTTAGAACTTAGAATTTTCAGTAGCAGTGCTGCTAAGAGGTGAACAGCTGAACTTAAGTTGGGAGGGAAGAATGGTAGGTGGAAAATTGGGAGCACAGAAATTACTAGTTATGACACTGACCAAATCAGCATGGAACAAAGCTTCAGGGAAGTGGCAGCATTGACCAGTGACTCAAAGAAAACAAAACCTGCGGGGTTCATTTCAAAAGCAAAGGAAATGTTTGCAATCCCTTCATATTCAGTAATAAAACCACATTGGGCTGGTGGTCCCTTTGTTGGCACCACACTGAAATGCTCAGTGCACTTTAATTTATGGGGGTAAAACAACCGCTGTCCCATAAAACAAGATCTGCAATAATCATTTGAGAGGCAAAGGAGGTACATGGCTTACTTTTTTATGCTTTAGTTCTACAATTGAAACAAAGCAAAGAAATAGACCAGGCATAGGCAAACTCAGTCCTCCAGATGTTTTGGGACTACAACTCCCATCAACCCTGGCTAACAGGACCAGTGGTCAGGGATGATGGGAGTTGTAGTCCCAAAACATCTGGAGGGCTGAGTTTGTCTATGCCTGAAATAGACTGAAAGGGTCCTGCAGTGATGCATAGGAGGTTTAAAGCTGTATGCATTTATGGGATGTCTCGGGGGGGGGGGGGGACAAGCCATTTATACAAATAGGTGATATGAATCCTTTGCTTGAGGAAAATGGGTCTTGTGAAGCAATACATGGATTTGTACCTATTAGCACATGCTGTATGCATTCTTAATCATTAAACCATCTTCAAACAGAAGCTGCTTGCCGGAATGAAAAGTGCAGGGGTGGGGGAAAACAGCAGCCCTTTAGGACTCCAGGCATATCTGGTGCCCAAACAACTAACTCATCAATCACAGCTCTGATTGCACTCATTGGCTAAAAACACTGAAAGGCAGGAACAGCCAGGCTAGCTTATTTCACAGAAATAACTTAGAATGCTAAGGCTTGCCTGCACAGTTTGCTTCATAACTTTCAGGGTTGAAGTGTTGCTTTTTGTTTTGTTTTTCGAAGCAAGTCTTTACAAAAGAGGGGAGGGGACAGCATTGAAAGGAGGTGTGCTGGGAGTCAAAGACTTTGTGGTCAAGCTCCCCTGATGTCCCCCACCCATGGCTCTGTCAGGAGTTCAGCCTACACTCAAGTAGGACCCTGGCAGAGACACATGGCCAACTGGCATGTTCCCTCTCTCCTGGTTGATCATTCGGGAGCTTCATCAGCTTTCTTCAGCCCGAACATCACAGCGACTGATGCCAACTGACCCCGGCACACTTAGGGATCTGCAGAGTTTGCGCAGTTTGCGTAACAGACCTCAGCAACTCAGCATTTTGGAGCACACATGGAGCACTGCAACATGGCTCCCTCTCTCTCTAGCATCAGACAGCAAAGAGAAAATGAACAAAGGACCAAAGTTCCACTTCATGGAACACAGTAACACAAACATCCTGTTTCCGTCACTTCCCACTCTGTGGAGTCAAAACATATACCGTCATGTGATAGACAAAAATCCCATGACTGCAGTCATGGAGCAGGAATTCTAACAGGTTCATCCATGCAAGATGGGACCTTAGCCAATCAGGATCCCTCTGGAGGAGTAGAACTCCTTCAGATGTAGTTTGCAAGTGTGAGCATCAGGAAGAGGTTGGAAGAAGCCCATGCACCTATCCTAAATTATTCTCTCATCTCGGGGAGAAATTCTCAATTCACCCTTTGGGTGACCTGAGATTATTTTAGCCACATAGATTAACTTTTCCAATGAAAAAAAAACGGGTTGAAAGTACTAAGCAGAATTAGACTGTCGTTTTCTCTACAGATATAGATGTGTGCATCACAGAAAGTACCAGGGAAGTCGTTCTGATTTAATAGGTACTATCTAAAGATTGAATTTCTCTTTTGTACCTCAGGAGGCAATGATCTCTACAGCAGAATTAACCTCAGAGAGAGATAGTGAGAGAGATTAATGAAAAATAACAACTTAATATCCCCTGTAAAAACTCTTTCCAAAGCTCAAGTTCATTTAAGTACAAGCATCTTTCCCACAAATTCTACAGGTGGAAAGTTTCCGTTTATTTACATTCATTCCAACTGCTGCCCAGCTCTCCTTGCCTTCCTACCCTGAGGAAGAACAGGCTGTGTTCTGAAATTTCTGTGTTTTGATTTTGGCTCCAAAGCCAAGTAAGGTAAAGGTAAAGGGACCCCTGACCATTAGGTCCAGTCGTGATCGACTCTGGGGTTGCGGTGCTCATCTCACTTAATTGGCCAAGGGAGCCGGCGTACAGCTTCCGGGTCATGTGGCCAGCATGACTAAGCCGCTTCTGGTGAACCAGAGCAGCGCACGGAAACACCGTTTACCTTCCCGCTGGAGCTGTACCTATTTATCTACTTGCACTTTGACGTGCTTTCAAACTGTAATGCTGCCTAAATTCCAAGGGCAAGCTTATTTTGTGGGCATCCAAAAGCAGTTAACTAAGAGATGTCAACTCAGCCATGGCCCAATGGGTCTGTGCATCTGGTTTTTATTCAGAAGGCTGGTGGTTTGAGACCCTACCCCACCCCAAGACTGCTGTGGGCAGGATTCCTGTATTGTGGGGGGCTGGGCTAGATGAGCTTTGGGGTACCTTCCAACTCTACAATTCTGTGGTACTATGCCAAGTGACCCTGTTGTTTTTAAAAGACACAAGCTGCCTTGTATCCCAACTCGGAAGAAAGGCAGGATATAAATACATTGGATAATAACAACCAAATAATAACAATCCAACTACAGATCAGGAGCTGATAAACAGTAGAAAAATAAACATAGCAACTTTTGTTATAATTTAAGGAATGAGATTAACCATGTCTAAAAGCTTGAGCAAAAATCCAGGTTTGAAGCTGGTGCTCGCTTAAAAGGAAACAAAAAATGCATTTTTGCTGGGCAAAGACTGTATTGATCATGGATTTACCCGTGGTGGGAAAAAAGAAGTTGTATACCCCCCGCAAAAAAATAAAAATAAAAATGGATGGGGCAGAGAGTGGTGTGCCTTGTCATTTTGGTTAAAAAAAAAATCCTCAACGCATTGGATTGTTTTGCTACTGGAATATCTCAGGCTGGGCTGAACGCTGAAGAGTCACATTCTTCCTCTTGAGAAAGTAAAGAGGAATGACTAGTTTGCATATATAATATTGTCATTCCAGTTCTTTGAAAGTTCTGTCTAGTTGCATTGGGCGCAGATTTCATTTTCCCT